TTTTTTTTATCAGAAAGGGGGGACAAATGAGAACATCAAGCCAGTCTATCATCAGAATGACAAATTTAAAGGATTGAAAGGAAATACAAAGCCCATCAACCCATATTTATATACCGAGCAAAAATATCAAATATCAATATTGGCTCATTAACAAATATACTCTTTTAAAAAATATTTATTTACTTTTTAGTTGTAGTTTCACATAATTCCTTTATTTATATGTGGTGCTGAGGATTGAACCCAGGGCCTTGCACATGCTAGGCAAGCATTCTACCGCTGAGCCACAACCCCAGCCCTCAAATACACTCATTTAAAATGTTGCCAGGATTTGAATATAGTTTGCTGCCCCCAAATTCATGTTGAAATTTAATCCCCATTATGAGACTTTAAGAGGTAGAACAAGGAATGACCCTTAAGAAGGATGTAACTCAGTATCTGAGTGCAAGGTCCTGGGTTCAATACCCAGCAACACACATATATATTTATGTGTGTGCTGGTGCCTTACATTAGATCATCCTCAGTCCTGCATTATGTGCCTGTGGGAGAAGGGATTTTGAAAGACTCCAAGGTTCATAAGGTAGGTGCAAACCTTTTGGTCATTTCTTCCAGAATCTTAACAGTGGCTTACACTTATAATACTGTTAAATCCAAGAGGACTGATTGCTGATACCAATAGTTTAGTACCTCTTGGAATATGGGCCATAGGTGACTGAAAATATAATTATGAACAGCACTAGGCCTAAATCAGAGTTGCAAACTAATTTGGGAAATGATGTGGTTATAGCATAAGGAAGGAGTACTGTCAGTTCTTCTAGCTCTCCTTCCCACACCTTCCACAGACAGAGGGAACAGAATGCAAAAGAACAGTATGTGTTTTATCTGTCATGTACCTGTCTATTAATTTAGAAGGGTAGTCAAATTTCCTACCTACACTTTTTTTTTCAGAAAGAACAAAACTGCTAATACTTAACTATAAACTAAATCCATGGAAGTCCTGATCCTGTTAATAAACAAATATCAGCCCCCACCCACTCCTACTTATCTTCATACACACTGAAAATGGGCACAGCATTTGTGGACCATATGCCCTGGTCTCTTTCCCTCAGTAGAATCCTATTGCTACAGATGGCTCCTAAATTGGCTAGCATAATACAGCAGATGGTGGGCAGGGGAGTACTCAGAAGGAGACAACATATCCTTTTCCTTTCTAACCAACATACAAAGACTGATCAAGTGAAGCAAGTCAATGTCTGGGTTAATGATTCACCTGAAAACCCTGAAGGGCTTGTTATACAGACTCTGGGCTCTAACTCAAGAGTGCCTGATTCAGAACTATGGGCAGAGCCCAAGAATCTACATTTCTAAGAAGTTCCCAGGTGATACTAATGCTGCTGGTTCAGAAATCACACTTTAAGTACTAACYGATGCCATTGATTTTCAGTGCTGGTTGTATGTTATAGTTGTCTGCAAAGTCCAAAACAAAACAAACCCATGCTCAGATCATATTTTGGGTCAATTTTAACAAAATCTACTTGGGAGGCACCAAACCTTGGTATTTTTAAAGATTCTCAGGTGATTCCATTATGCTGCCACCATTTTTTTTTTTTTAGTTATACGTGAACAGAATGTCTTTATTTTTTTAATTGATTTTTATGTGGTGCTAAGGATGGAACCCAGTGCCTCATACATCATGCTAGGCAAGCACTCTGCCACTGA